GATGCATATTTGACCAAGTAATAAGCCTCGACCCATCCTAGCTCATAGAGGACGAGATCTTTCCTGGATGATCCTTTAATACCCAAGCATGATTGCATCACCTGTTCAAGCTGTTTCACAATGTTCTATGTTTAAAACATCCCCTGTCCCAACTTTTTTTGGAATGTGTTGTAGGCATCAGTTTCATAATGAGCTTACATTCACAAAAAAACAACAAAGTCGATCAGGTAAAACATTAAATGTCTTGTCTTTGTACTGTTTTGGTCAAATACAGGTCAAAGCAGATTTACACATCTCTGTTTTCAGTTGCATTTCACCTGCTGTCCCGACTGTTTCGGGACTGGGTTTGTACATTTTTCATGAGGTATTTCTAAGATAATCCACTTGCACAAGGAAGGGGAAAGTCAAAGGAAAACAGGAGTTTCCCCAAACTTGAGTGAGATTCCTAACAACCATGGTAGACCAAGAGCTGGTAGACACCAAAACTGCCCCCATCAGATAAACAGCACTTAAAGCTTTCATCTCTGAGAGAGAGGAGAAAATCAAGCAGCTTCAGATCTGAAAACATCCACAGGTGTTTCTGTCCATCCTTCCACTGTGAGAAGACGACTCAGCGCTGTGAGTGTGGCTGTCAAACAAAGAAGCTGCTGGTGTTCTCAGAACAGTGGACTGGCCACCCCAGAGTCCCGGCCTCAATCTCCTTGAAGGTGTTTGGGATTACTTGGATCATGGGAGGCAGAGGTGCAACCAACTCCTAGGACTGAACTTTGGAGGTGTGGAAAAATATCCTTTCTTTGAAAAACTGAAAGCAAGACTATCGAAAAGAATGGAAGCTGTAATCAAAGCAACCGAGGACAAACTAAATATTGAAAAATTGATATTATACTTGATGTCAGAGGCTTTTGTGGAACCTTCTCTTAAGTCCATGTTTTATGCTTTTTTTCTGATGCTAAAAAATGAATAACTGGCTGGAAATTAAACAAATGAAGGGTGGTCCCTGACTTTGAACAGTACTATATAAGGTAGGTAGAGCTCATAAAGTGACCAGTAATAAAATGGCCAGTGACTGTAAGCTTCAAATATATTATTTTCCTGCCCTGTAAAATGTTTGGACAAATAAACCTAAGAAAATGGTTACATTCCTTGTGTTTATGGCATGATACTCATATTTACATTCAAGTGATTCAAAAATGCAAGATATTGCTATAGGCGGAAGAACAGCGATAAAAAGAAACCATTTGTGCTACTGAACATGTACGTTTGTAGACTATTATAGAGAGTAAACGTCAAGCACTATACAAATCACAACCCGTGCAAAATATGCTCTTGTATACAGTATTTAAAAACTATAACCTACAGCTACATTGCATTTGTCATTTAACACGGTTCTTTTACAACACTTTACACACAGTTTGGGCTCCTTGGGTGGAAAAAAATTCTGAATGCAAAACACAAATATTACATACTGGTTAGAATCTCGACAAACAGCAGAATACGAATCCCTTTGGAGTAAGTCCTCTGGTTACATGTCCTCTTCTCAGGCTCCTCGCTTCTCAACCTTTGTGGTCTGGAGTTTTCAGTCCTGTCCTCAGTGACCCTCAGCCAGACCACACTTCATTTCTGAGCCACGTAATTAGCATCAACAGCCTGGGCTCACCAGGATCTGTGTCTGAAGCTCAAACTAAACAAAAGCGTGGACTGTATGGGGGTCAATCAGGACTTGATTGAAAACTGCTGATCTAGAGCAGTGGTCACTAATCCCTCACTTTGAGATCCACTATTATGCAGAGCTTTAGCTCCAACCCCAATTTACCACACCTAAGTACCACACCAAGGTCTGCCAGTTGTAGTGTACACCAGTCATTCTGCAGGATTTATTTAAATATACCCAATTTTAGCACTTAAAACAGGTGCAGCGTAGAATCTCAGACAAACTAAGATTTCACATTTGTGATTGTTGTGGACCAAAATGCTTGATTTTCCTGTGGCATTTCTAACAATTTGAGGCAAATTTAGAAGATTATGAGCCTAATATTTATTTAACTTGTTTTAAATAAAGAAATGGACATTTTTTGTGATAGTCGCAGACCAGAATGCTTGATATTGCAGCAGCATTTCTCAATATTTGTGTTAAATTTTGAAGATTATGAGCCTGATATTTATTCAAGATGTTTTAATGTAGCCTAGATAGTTTCAACACTATGTAGAATTTGGGGATTTGGTGGAAATATGTAATTGCACTCAACATGCGGAAGAACATTACGTAACATCTTAATGAAGGACGCGTCTTCTGAAGACGTATATAAATGATCTACTATTGTCATCACATCTTTATCAGTATCATGTTGATTCTGCATTTATTACCTAAACATTGAGTCGGACCTTCTGTTTGACGCTAGTTATGTTAATACGTAAAGACGTATGATGTGGTCTGAAAACCTCCCGCCAAATCCGACCCTATCTCTGACTTTTAAGTGACTATTTCAGGCTTTACAGGGCGACTCGCAGCCGCGCACTCTCACTATATTTTAGTGTGATCTTTGTTCTCAGTAATGCTGCGTCTTTCAGTTTGAACAAAAAATATTACATACAACAGGAAATGAAGTGTAGCTCTTAGCCCTGTTTTTAGCTGAAATGTTTGTTGGTAAACGTGACCAGGACTTCAATGTCTTCACACTCACAAGCAACGCTTCTGCCTTAATGTGGCCAAGGACCGCCTACTTTGACGGGAAAGGGAAAAGAATAACCAATAACTGATCAGTGTTTTTTGTAAGCATCAGCCAATCTTGCGTAAAGCTAAGTGCTTCAAATGCAACTACTAAATAACTTTTAAAGATGTTATTCTGTGAACCTTGCAAACCTCTTCCAATCTAGTATCTATATTGGTAGAAAAGGCTCAGCCACAAAGCATGAAACCAAGATAATCATGATAGCTGTGGGCAGCTTAGTTTAGATATTATACATAATATACTACACATAGTACATAATATGTACTATATACTGCATGTAAAATCAAATAATAATGTATATTTAAAAAATCCAACTTGCTCCCTTAAAATCAGCTGATTTTTGAGTACATTGTTGATGGACAGTGCTGTCCCATAATGCAATGCATAGCGAAAGCTCCTATGATGGCTTCAAAAATGAATTCTATGACAAAACTGAGGAATAAGTTTTCAGATTAATATGAGGTTTGTTGGCATAGCAACGTCACCACATCACTACCTGTATAAAAAAGGCCTAACACTTTAAAATTTTGCTATTATACTAATATACCAAAGAATACTTTTCTTGTAATAATAGTTTAGTAAATGATTGGAAAAGTGTATATTTATATTTAGATGGCCTTTTTTAGTCGAATCAGCTGACATGAAACAGAGATAGCAACTTGCTGCATGCTTGCTAACATCATTGAATTGTGGGTAGGCTAGCAGTTAGCAAGCTAAAGTTGTAACTGTAATATAGTAACTAGTTTCCATGATAACATTTTGAAATCCGTAGCTGCGCTTTGCAAATATCCCAACTAGGACTGTCAACGTTACACTTCAGTTATTAACACTAATGTATGTTAGTACTATAGCAGTGCAGGCTGAAGCCCAGCTGCCCATAGATGGAATCTGAGATTTCGTTCAAACACAGCTTTTAAATGGCTTTTAAAGCGAAATCTGCGCAGGCTACGCTGATGCTCGTGGGAGACTGATGGATCAATCGGTAAAATAAACTGTAAATCTCTCTTATTCTCCTCCACTAAAACAAAATCCATGAGCTGTATGAACAAGAACGAGAGGCTACAATCAAGAAGGAGCTGTAATCAGTAACTCACGTATGACAATTGCAGGCAAAAGCTTGGGCACCCCTGGTCAAATGATACTTTTTGATTAGTTTTGTTGATTTTCTAAGTGAAAATAAGTTAAAACATTCTCTACAGAGAACACACGGTAACACTTTCTATGAATGTCACCTTTGTAAGCATCTATAAACACATTCATATGTTATAATGCATTCATAAGACATTATGAACATAGATATAAATATTTATAAAAATGCATTATACGTTATAGCCATGTTTATTATGCATTATGAATTGTTAACATAATACATTATAAGTACTGATCATAACAAATTATAAGAGCTCATAAGTCGTATTTGTCCGCTCTAAGTAAAGTGAAGCGTACTGTACTAAAGCCTCCTCCAGTGTTCAGAGTGAGGCTTCAAGTTGAAGTATTTACTGAAGGATTTACTGAAACACTAAAACATTCACAGTAAAGCACATTACAGGCTTCAAATGTCAGAGTTTAAACTAGAGCTGCCATCAGTGTTTTACCCAATGTGGGAAAGGTAATGTACACCACCGTTAGCTTGGTACTTGTCTTTACTTTACGCTCTCCAAGCTGGGACTGACTTCTTTGGCACTGACATTATAACATGTTATTAACACTATTTATAATGCATTATATTAACAATTCATAATGTATAATAAACATGGCTATAAAGTGTAATTCAGTGTAATTCTTTTTTCTAAATATTTATAACCATGTTTATAATGCCTTATGAATACATTATAACATGTAATAAATGTGTTTATAGATGCTTACAAAGGCGACATTCATAGAAAGTGTTACCGAACACACTTGAATATGGAATTTTCAGCTACATTTCGTGCACAATTTCTATTTTTTGGATAAATTTGCCATATAATAAAAAAGAAAGCAAAATATTTAATGTTTTATTATTTTACAATATTTCCAGCAAATAAATAGTAATTGTGCTTTTAAACTGTGCAGAGATGTGTCTGTATTTATTTTTACTTAGGAAAATCAGCAAAAACTGTCGTTTTAATCCTGTGTTCACATGGTGAAAATAGTGTTATAGAACTGATTAATAAATACAATATTATGAAGCCTTTTTTGTCCACTAATATAGCCATAACAAGATGCACTGCTTTTTAAATGAAAAAACTGAGCTAATAAGATAAATGTAATTTATTGGGATTAACTACATTAAACAATGCAATTAATTATGATTAATTATTTTAATCGCTTGACAGCACTGATTCTAATGTAAATAAGGTTGCGTAAAAATACAAGTAGGACAAAGACGCCTAACTCACTTTCAATGCTGAAAATCTCAAGCAGAACCTTCTGATTGCTCCCCTTCGTCTCCGTATGGAGTTCACTGTGTAACACTTTACTTTGCAGCACATCATCTGAGTATCAACACTACACCCTGCTTAATTTCCCGCTATGAACACAGCACTTGCTCTAAAAGCAGGTAGTACCTTACAGAGCTACTCAATTTGATACAGAGTTGGGGTTGGAGGTGAAACGTGCAGGAACGTGGATGTCCAGGTGTAGGGTCATTCCCTACTGCTCCTGAGAGTGTGGAAACTAGAGTGGAAACACCAGAAAGCCGGAGAACGTGGAGTATTTCCATCCGCCCATCAGGTTCCCTCGCTCCAGCTTCAGATAAAGCCGGTCCTCGCGCTCCAGGTGCAGCAGCACGCCGTTACTCGCCGCCTCGCGTGTCACGTCCTGATCGCCCGCAAAGGCGGAGATTATCGGGTATTCGTTGTGCATCAGGTTCACCTAATGATAAAAAACAGAACAACATAAATAGGTTTTAATACCAGACTCAAGCCTGATCAGTGCCTGATCAGTGCATGGGCAGGTTAATCTTGTACTTGCAGGACCAATAAATGACCAACATATTTCACCACATCTCCTCTCGACTGGGCGGTCCTAATCTTGGGCAATGCTTCCGTAAGCATTCCCCTGACCAATCACAGCATGACCAAAAGCTAGATCACCTGTCTATAGCTGCCATTCGTTTATTCGGTTATTATTACCCAATGTGGGAAAGGTAATGTACATCACCGTTAGCTTGGTATTTGTCTTTACTTTACGCTCTCCAAGCTGGGACTGACTTCTTTGGGACTGACAGTATAACATGTTATTAACACTATTTATAATGCATTATATTAACAATTCATAATGTATAATAAACATGGCTATAAAGTGTAATTCAGTGTAATTCTTTTTTATAAATATTTATAACCATGTTTATAATGCCTTATGAATTATTATTATTATTATAACATATTATAAATGTGTTTATAGATGCTTACAAAGGTGACATTCATAGAAAGTGTTACCGAACATTGTTCATGCATAACATTTATTGTCCGGTTACCGTCACCTAAAAGCTGGATAATGATTTTAGTTTTGTATGAGTGGCTAGGAGTGTTGGACAGAGAGCTGTCAATCAAGTTGCTTAATTGCCACATCTACACAGTTCTCAGATGTCTGACTGTCAGTTTTTAAGCTGTAGTTACCATATTTATATATTACAATTTTCATTCAAGCTTTGCTGAACGTTTATAACACTCAAGTTTAGTATCTTTCAACCTTTTTAACATATTATTTTGTTTTCCCTGGGAAGTTGGGCGCTTACACAGAAATACACACTGTCAGTTCATTGCATTTGTATCTCCAGTCATTTGTATCTCTGATGCTTTTAGGTTACAAAGTTTGGAAAGTATCGTAAATATTATAACAGGGACTTTTATAACAGATATGCAAGTTTAAGACATTTTAGAGTTAACAATATACAAACCCAATTCCAAAAAAAGTTTGGACAATGGGTGAAATGCCAACAGAAAGCAGTGATTAGTAAATTCTCTTTGAATTGTATTAAACTGAAAACAGTACAAAAACACAATATTATATATTTTATCTCATGCGCTGTTTTTTATAATTATATGCTCATTCTAAATATCATGTCTTTAGCTGTGCATCTGTACAGGGGCTTCTTTGTCATATTTTGCCCTTTATAATGTGCCACATGTTTTCAGTAGGTGACAGGCAGGCCAGATATGCAAGTTAACCACTAATACCCCCCCACACACCATGACAGACACTGGATTTTGAACTTTATGCTGGTAACAATCTGGATGGTCCTTTTCTTCTTTGGCCTGGAGAACATCCATTATTTCCATAAACTGTCTGAAAGGTTGACATGTTAGATTACAATACATGTCTCCACTGTGCATCAGTCCACTTCACATGAGCCCAGAGAAGTCGGCGGTGTTTCTGGATGTTGCTGACATAAGGCTTCCACTTTGCATAATACAGCCTTAACCTGGATTTGTGGAATTTTTGGTTTATCAAAGTGTTCCTGAGCAGTGAGGAAGCCTGAGTGGTGATATCCATCACAGAAGCATGCCTGCTTTTAAAGCAGTGCCATCTGAGGGGGTCAAAGGTCATGGGCATTCAGTTGTGATTTTTGGCCTTGACCTTTACGCAGACATTTTTTTGGATTCCATTAATCTCTTGATAATATAATGAACCATAGAGGATTAAATATCTAAAATGCTTGCAATCACACATTAAGGAACATTCTTGGACAACAACCTATATTTGCTCACAAACAGCTGGGCCTGGATTCTCCTTTTATAGTCAAGCATGATTACATCACCTCTTTTAACCTAGTCTTAAATTGCTTCAACTTTTTTGGAGCATGCTGCAGGCATCAACATACTGGTCCAACTTTTTGGAACTGGATTTGTAAAAATGAATGAAGAACCAACACAGGACAGCCAATCCAAAAAGAAAGCTTATTTACATATGTCAGTCCTAAAGGTTCAGTCACAAACAGCCTGTTCAAGCATAAGAGCTAAAGAGTTGTTGGAAAATAATCATGTAAAAAATGAATTATGACTGTTTTGGTACATGAAACCAAACAAACATCATACCAAGATCTCAAGAAAAAGATAATTACAAGAAAAACTTAGAATAAAGGCCAAAGACTGCAACATATAGGAAAAGGAAAATTCAAAGAAAAACTAATACAGTTTTGTCTCTCTCTTCCTGGTATCTCATTCCTTCTTTAAAGGGCCGGTATCAAAACCAAATTTCCTCACTTTTCTGAAATAAAGAGTTAGATGTAGTATGTATACACTTCAGTTTTCAAAACATACCATTCACTACTCAGTACATACAGCGCAAAAACAGCCTGTATTTGAATTTGCTGTTTTTGTAATGTGACACATTTACACACATCTAACTATTCAGCCTACAAGTGAAGTTATAAGCAGCATTTCAGCCTGGACTGCTTTTTAAATGACAGCGAATCAGAACAGAGCTAATTTAAATATATCAATCTTAAAGGTACAGTGACAAAAACAACCCGTTTGATTCTGAGAGATGAGAGAGGTTGGAAAATGATCATGGAAAAATGAGTTATGACTGCTTTTGGTAAATAAAATACACAAACATTTAAAGTGGACCTCAAGGAAAAAGATAAATGATAAGATACAAGATGAAGTGTCATATATATATATATATATATATATATATATATTAGAATAGAGAGATAGAGAGAAAGAAATAGGTGACAGAAATTGGGATAAAGAAAAAAAAACAGGCCAAATAGAACATATTCTTTTTTGTCATTGCATAAAATATTAACAGTTCTATTTTTATATTTTTACTGGTTCTAAATCATTCGTCTTATTATTTAATATTCCCAAACTTTGTAGGGATATATACAAATCAGCCGTTATGTCTTATGTGTTGTACATCATCAGGTTATAAATAAGGGATTCTGGAAGTCTGACCTGGATAGTCTGTCTGTTATAGACCTTCACCACGTGGAAGCTGAAGCTGTAGATTCCTCTCCGTGGCGCCGTGAACACGCTGGCCTTCAGGTCGAAATGGTTCCCGATGTTGACGAGCACCTGCACAAGAAAAAAAAAAACATGCCTTCAGGAAAGCAACGCAGAGAGTTCAGCATCGTTACACGCATTTTAGACCAGCATGCTTTGATGTGAAATGCTTCATTCTAGAAAAACTAAGGTGAAATAATGGTTCACAGTGGTGCTGAGAGGATCTAAACACCTGAAGCACTTAATGCCTCTAAAAGCTCCTTGACTAAAAGTTACTACATGAACTTCTGAATATGGCGCCCCCTGCCTGAGACACTGATTTACAATTGATGTGCTCAATGAGGGGTGATGTAGAAGAGAAGAGAACACCCTGCTGTGAATATCTTCTGCTTGGTATCACAAATAAGTGCACAACTGTCACAATAAACAGCACTTAAACGCTATAAAACACTACTACACAATCATCATCATCATCATCATGATCATCTTTAACTGCTTAGTCCAAATAGGGTCGCGGTATCAGTTGGGAAGGCAGAGAATCCCAGATGACCCTGTCCCCAGCAACTTCCTCCAGCTCATTCCGGGGGGGACCGACTGGAACGACTCCGGGGTCTCGTCCCAGTTGGTCGTGCCTGGTAAACACCCACCGGGAGGCGTCCAGGAGGCATCCTGATCAGATGCCCGAACCAGCTCAACTGGCTCTTCCCATTGTGGAGGAGCAGCAGCTGTTCTCTGAGCTCCTCCCGGATGTCTGAGCTCCTCACCCTATCAGGTGCAGCCCACCACCATGCAAAGAAAGCTGATTTCCGCCGCTTGTATTCGCGATCTCATTCTTTCGGTCATCACCCAAAGCTCCACAGGTGAAGGTGGGGATGACCAACCAGTAAACAGAGAGCGTTGCCTTATAGCTCAGCTCCCTCTTCACCACTGCAGTCCGGTACAGTGGCTGCATTACTGCTGTCATCTGTCCCAGCCTGCGGCCGATCTCACGATCCCACTGGGTGTCAGGGACTGGGATGTAAGTGAACAGCAGGTTCTTGTAGCTGACGTGTTGGATGTGGGAGAACTGGGCAGGCGTGAGATCCTGAGTGACTTGGACAAGGGCCAAATCATTGTGGCCAGACAACTGAGCATCTCAGAAATGGCAAGGGTCAAGCGACAAGTGTGTTGGGATGCCCAAGGCTCATCGATGTGTGAGGGCAACAAAAGGCTATCCTGCCTGACCTGTAGCAACATATGAGCTACTGTGGCACAAGTCACTGAAAATTTTAAAGATTACATGTGGAGCATGTCACAACACTCAGTGCCTCGCTGCATGTGGAGCTTGTAGCCACAGACCACTCAGTGTACTGCACCCAGTGGTCGCCTGGTTTGATGGGTCCTGTTTTCTTTTACATCACGTGAAGGGCTGCTTACTTTCCTGGGAAAGTGATGGCACCAGGATGCACTGTGGGAAGAGGACGAGCCAGTGGAGGGAGTGTGATGCTCTGGGCATCATTCTGCCAGGAAACCCTGGGTCCAGGCATTCATGTGGATGCCAGTTTGACATGTGCCACCTATAAACATTGTTGCAAACCCTAAATGGCAATGGTTTTCCTCTTTCAGCAGGACGATGTGCCCTGCCACACGGCACATTGAGGAATGGTTTGATGAACATGATGAAGAGCTCAAGGGCAACCAAATTCCCCAGATCACAATCCGACCAAGCATCTGTGGAATGTGCACAACAGATCGGATCCGCATTGGCTTAACCTTGCAACATAAAGGACTTCAGGGATCTGCTGCTAACGTCTTGGTGTCAGATACTAGGGAGCCCCGCAGATGACATCCTGTATAAATAAAAAAAAAATGTGTGGCCAGGACTTAGTAAGGCATGGGAACAAGATCCTAATGCATGCATTAATAAGGCGTGGCCATGCATTATTTTTATTTATATGGGATGTCACCATAAGATACCAAAGAGCACCCTCAGAGGTCTTGTAGAGTCCCTGCCTCAGCGGGTCGGAGCATTTTTGGCAGCAAACGAAGGACCAACGGCATATTAGGCAGGTGGCCATAGTGTTTTGGCTCATTGGAGTAAATGTTGCTTAACTTGCTCGCCTAAGAAGATGAACAACAGCCAATTTATGGCTACTGTGAAAAGAAGTTAATACGCCAACAACATTGTATTTGATATTCAAAACAAACGGACATTGCACAGTTTTGCATGCTTGTGTTATCTAACTAACACCAACCGATGACGCAAAAACCAAACCACACCACTGGCATGAACTTGTTTAGTCTCACATTAATTCACATGTTTATGTGTGAAACTAAAATGCAGGCAGCAGTGAAACAGAGAGGAGTGAAAGAAGACGCAGAACAGAGGGACGAAGAAAACTGGAGGAAAAGGTTTTTTAAATGACTTGAGAGACGAATATGTTTCCAAAGCAAATAAGATTGTCTCAGCATCCACATCCGCACAAAAGAGAGCTTTTAAACCGAGATTGATAGGACGACTTTTCCTGGTTAGAGTATTCAATCAAAAAAGACACAGCTTTCTGTTTTTAATGCAGACTGTTTTGACAAGCACAGAGGTTGGGCTTCTTTGAGCCCCAACTGTGAACGTCTGGGCATGAACATAACAGATCATGATAATGATATCATATCGTCATATCGCCCATCTCTAACAGCTCATACAGTTAATAACTAATCTCATATATTGTCTGGATCTGCTTTAATTGATCTTTTATGCGTGTTGACACATGCATGATTGCACTAATGTGACCTGGTTAAAGGGGATCTCCACCAATTTTTCAAAATAAGATGTAAACACAGTCATTCAGAGTGGTTTGATGTGAAACGCTCTGTTCTAGAGAGACTTACTGAGTCAGAATTGTTCACAGTGGTGGTGATAGGAACCAGACGTCCACCTCTAAAAGCTCCCTCACAGAAAGTTATTACATGAAATGGTCATGAATGTTCAGCCTGATGACTGAGACACTGTTTTATGGTAGTTTAGCGATACATTTTTTGACTTAAAATATATTTTAATCAATTTCGTTTAATCTATTCATGTGTGGACGGGTAAATGAAGGGTGTTCGGAGCCCAAATAAGCCCCGAAAAACCTCTTTTTTTCAGATGTTCCACTATTTTCCATCATCATCATTCCATATAAACTCAGAAGACTCGTGTAGGTTCACTGGCGGTTTTGGATGGTAAATCAATTGGCTATATTTGAGCTGAAGACATCTCGGTTTACTCTCTCTTTCCTCTCTCTCTGTTTATCTGTCTTCCCTTGTTTCAGTCTTTCCTCCCTCTGTTTATCTCTCTCCTTGTTTAACTCTCTCTTTCCTTTCCATCTCTCCTTGTTCCACTCTCTTTCCTCCTTGTTTACCTACCACTTCTTGTTTCACTCTTTCCTCCCTCTCTGTTTATCTCTCTCCTTGTTTTATTCTCTCTGTCTCTCCTTGTTTCACTCTTTTCCTCTCTCTTATCTCTCGTTTACCCTCTTTCCTCTCTCTGTTTATCTCTCGTCCCTTGTTTCAGTCTTTCCTCCCTCTCTCCTTTTTTAAACCTCTCTTTCCTCTCTCTCTTTCCTTCCTCTCTGTTTATCGACATCTCCTTGTTTCACTCTTTTCCCTCTCACTCTGTCTTTGGTTCACTCTTTTTTTCCATCTGTTTATCTCTCTCCTTGATCCACTCTCTTTCCTCCCTCTCTGTTCATCTACATCTCCTTCTTTTACTCTCTCTCCTTGTTTCACTTATTTTTTTCCATCTGTTTATCTCTCTCTTTGTTTCACTCTCTATGCTGAAGACATGGCGACGTCTGGTTCCCATCACCACCACTGTAAAGAAATCAGTCAGTAAGTTTCTCTGCAGATGAACCATTTCACATCAAACCACTCTGAGTGACTCTTTAAATCTCAACTTTTGACTTACGCAGACATTTTGAAAATTCGGTGGAATTCCCCTTTAAAATGCAAAAGCTTCAGATAATACGTTCTCACCGAATCGTCCTCAGTAAAGGCATTTGCGCGGCAGGAAAACGCAGTAATGCAGGCTAACAAACCCTCCACGCTTCTCCTGCACGCTCTGACTGCACGACAAAGCGACCAGCTCGCCGCTCGTGCCGCTCGTTTCCTGCTTTAAAACGCGCAGCGCTGCGTAAAAACCCGCGCGTAAAAGCGCACAAGCGCGTAGGAAGCAGATTCAGGCTTCCTACGGCGAGGCGGACTCGTTAAATGAGCTCTGCGTGCGGAGGAGAAAACGCTAAAAAGAAGATAAAGAAGAACAAAGAGAGGAAAAGGACGCCCTGCTGAGACTGGACCTCACTCTGGTCATGTCTTATAACACAGCAACGGTTCCACAAAACAAGCAAGACGAGAGAGATCAGAGGACCTGGTCAAAGTAGATGGTCATGGACTTGTTGCTCATCTCGGACGGCTCGTGGTTGGTCCCCCTCACCGCGGAGAAGGCCACTTTGGCCCCGGCCGCGCGCACTGATATCCCGAAGCTCGCGGCCCCCGCGCCGTCCCCGGACGGGTTGGAGTCGCACACCACCAGACACTTCCCCTCCAGAACCACGGGCTCCGTGTCGTTCAGCCCCGCA